AAAAGAAAAGAAAAAAGAAGAAAAGAAAAAAGAAAAAAAGAAAGAAAGAAAAAAGAAAGAAAAATCGAAAGAGAGCGAACTGGGCCCGGCTTATGCGAATCAGCCTAGAAAATGTCGGAGGAAAAATACTTTTTGACTCACCTGAAAATGGAGGCAAATTATTCAACCAATCGTGACGCCCTGAAAAATGACCATTTCCTTTGGGCTGGAATAAGATTAGAAAAGTTTTGAAATGAAATTTAAGGACGTTTATATGCAAAGAAAAAACCTCGTCAGAATTTCTTTAAATTTTATATGATCCAGTTACACCATACCAGAACGAAGCAATGGAAAACGAGCGCGCGTGCTGTGTGCAGTTATAAAGCACGCGGGGGTTGGCAGAACAAAAGAGAAGTATTAGGAGACACTTCTCGTGGGATTCTGCCAATCCCCAAGTGCTTTATAACTCAACACAGCACAGCAAACAATTTTTTTATTTCTTTTATAAAATATACAAATTACAGGAATGACGAAACTGAAAGTGTGTGCGTGTACTATTTACTGTCATAAAGCACGCGCTCCCAACCAATCAGAACGCGAGATTTAGAACAGTTATTTTATAATTGAAATTAGCCACTCCGAGGATGAGGAAGGACTGGGTCGAGTTGGTACGGCACCGCATAACATCTCGACCAAGTGTTTTTCCTTGGACATCAAATGAGGTATTTTCAACATATTTTGACCAGCCTTCAGCAAAATAAGTGGGTTTTTCCCCCTCTGGTTACCCCCCAAAACCACAAAGGTATGCGAAAGAAAATAAGCAAATAACAAAAGAGTAGTGAGTTCACTTACAACATGTTGGTGAGTTGACTGCACTGACCCTCCTTTCTGTGTTGAGCTGCTCGCTAGACGCATGAGTAAAATATTCGAAAGAAAATCCTGTAATAAATGATGCAACATTAACACCTATACGTAATATTTCCCATTTCAGACCACGTGTGTTTCCCTACAATATGTATTTTTGTATATGTATTGTTTGTTTAACGGTTATAGACAAGAAGACACATGATAATAATAATCATTATTATGGGATTAATTATTATGGATTCCACAGAGTGGCTCTTCTCCCACTGGTTTCCAATTGGAATTTAGAAGTTGTTTTTTGCGGAGGGAGGAAAGCAGGAGAACCCGGAAAACCCTCGAAGTACAGGAGAGAACCTACAAACAACTCAACTCACAACACAAGCTCGTCGGGACTCGAACTCAGGTCGCATTGGTGAGAGGCGAGCGCTACGCTACCCATGCTTCCCATGGTGTTGTATACATGAATATGTATACAACTCAAACAAAGAATCTTATTCTCAAGAGACTGACACGCATTTAGAAATRGTAAAATATTACGTCCAAAAAGGGTAGGATGGGAAATGGAATATACAAAAAATTAATTTGCCATCCAGGTTGTTCCACTACAGTTTTCTAATGAGRATGTGCATTAACCATGTTAAACACTCACCACAGCAGTTGGGAAAGACTCGGATCTTCTCTTGTCTGTCAAGGCAAAAAAAGGCATGATAAAAACATGTTCATATCGATAAAATTTTGTCATATATTAAACAATAACAGAGAGTTTAAGAAATAAGGACTTTTTTAAGATAGCATGAAGAATTGCAGCGTTACAACTTGTTGGGTATTGTTGGGTGGCAACTTGTTAGGTAGAGGACTTCGAGCTAGTATTTTTATACCATCATCATCTTCATAACGTATGGTCACCATCCATCACCACCATCACCATCATCATCACCACCATCACCATCATCGCCACCAATATTACCACCACCTTCATTTACCATCATCATCAAAATCACAATCACAATCATCACCATCACAATCATCATCATCACCACCATCACCACCACCACCACCACCATCATCATCATCACCACCATTATCAACTCCACCTTTTTTACCATTATCATCAAAATCACAATCATCACAATCACAATCATCACCATCATCACCATCATCATCTTCATGCATCATCATATCATCATCACGATCATCATCATCATCACTATCATGATCATCAACACCACCATCATCACCATCACCGCCTATGAGAATTCTGATTGAACAAGTAGCCATCTCGCGCGTTGAGATGGTTCAAAGGTCCCGTGACGATTACCGTAGCATAAGCGTTTCAAAATCAATTTCATCGATTTTTTGGCTAAATGCAGTGGCAATGCTAAGATCTTTGAGCATCCTGTTTCACACATAAAATTCGGTAGTTGTTGTTTCATGAGCGGAAAAGAGAGTAACAKTACATGAAAGGCTATGTAACTACAAGGGCCTTCTCGCGTTTACCAGGGTAGGACATAGTTAAGAGAGGGGAATGGTTATGAAACCTATTGTTATAGGTCTTTGTTCGCTTTTGATGTTGGACCGGTCTTGACCATGCACAATGTTTGATTTATGCTCATCCGAAATTAGTAAACATAAAATAAGTAAACATAAACTTTGTCTATGGGACTGTTGTAAGGAGTATTCAAATATTCCTTCTAAATCTTTACGTTGTTTGAACTAGCTGCCAAAAGTAAGATTTTGGTCTGTTCACTCAGCCATTGCCAACAATCGTAAAACAAAGGATTGTGCGCGGTCACGCTTGAAAAAATTGAACAAAGACTTATAACAATAGGGTTTCCTAGCCATTCCCCTCTATTAACTATGGGTAGGATTATTACCATTCAAAATGGCCTCGAGAAACTCTGTTACTTGGTAGTTATACTGAACATCTTGTCTGTTAGCCTGAAGGAAAAAGAAAAGCAGTATTAAAGAATTGTCTGATATTTAATTTATTAAAACATGTTCTATCAAGAACATTACGTATAGCTTCATATTAATGCCATAATACCTTGCAAAAAAAATTTCTAAAAAAAGAAAATAAAAAAGAATAAAAATAAAAAACGACAACAAACAAACAAACGAACGGACGGACGGACGGACGAACGAACGAACGAACAAAAACAAAAACAAAAAAACCAAATACCCACGGAAAAACAAAAGGCAGCATTGTATGTGCCTAGCCGTCCAAGATCTTTATTAGGGACCTTAAGCTGCAGGACGGCAACGTCGGCGACAACGTCGGCGAAATTGAAGCGCTTTAACCTTCTATTGTATTATTATTATTTCGTGTTTACCTAGTATTTTACTCAATAAGCATCCCCGTTTTAGAGTGAAATGTCGTCTTTTGGGAGCGCTTTACTTATAACGAAAATCAGCAAAGATAAGCTTTTGGCGTAGCCGTTCTCTTTAGTACGTAAAAATAGGACATTTCACGTCTTACTTTCAGTATAAGACGGCAATGATGCACAGTATTTCGTACATTCCAACGAGTATCTATTGAATAGCACAATAAGTGCTATTGTATGTTTGCCGGCGTCGTCGTCGTTGCCGTCCTGCAGCTTAAGGTCCCTATTATTTGTTTTACGTTACCCCGTGCAGGGTTCTTCCATAGGTTCGTCCTACAAGCACTAGTAGTGCGACTCCGACTCCCGAATCACATGTTAATTTTTAAAGGACGAAATCCAAAGAACCCGGTGAAAAACTCTCGTGGTAAGGGAGAGAACAACACGTCAAACAAACTCAACTCACATATGCGCTTCAATCAAAACCGGTTCCGTCGAAACAACGTCGCAGAAGTACATACCACCCATGACACCTTTTAAGTGTAATACTGAGAACGATACGTACATCAAGAAGGTTGAGAATTATTTCCAGTGACCATTTCTTGCTATCATGAAGACGAAGGAGAACTTCTAAGAAGATGGTGGGTTTGTGTTTACGCAACATCTGAAATACATAACCGAAAATTGCTAGGAAGGAAGGAAGGAAGGAAGGAAGGAAGGAAGGAAGGAAGGAGTATAATGGGAAAATAGGATATTTTATTTTTCAAAAATTTCAATTTCGTGTCCGTCTCTGTCTCGTGCGGTTTTTGTTTTGAAGGGTTTTTTTCCGAAGAATCGTGAACAATTGGAAAGAAAACATAGTAAAATAATGGACCGCATAACCGCAATGAAAATGCTTACCTGAGCCAAAGGTGTAAGATGTTTGAAGTCCCCATGAAGCAAGAAGCAGTTGGTAACAACTGTCTCGATCATCTCATTCTGTATCAAATAGTCAAGATAGTGATACTAAGGGAGCGTTCGTTCGTCTGTAAAAACCGCCTGCGCGCGCGTGTTGTGTGCTCTCATAAAGCATGCACCGTCAACCAATCAGAGCGCGAGCTTTATAACGGATATTTTATAATACCTCTTGAATGGAGCTCAAAGAGGCTTGGGCGTGGTCCGGTTCGCATTGGTTTAAATAGAGAATAGCGGACACCAGATTATCCAAGGGTGAAAACCTATGAATCAATAGGAGAAAAAATGGGACAAATGTGTCGTAAAATTTACAGGTTTTCATGCGTAATTGACTTCTTTACCTTGGGCGTAACATTTCGTCGTTTCAGACCACGTGTCATATCTCTTGAGAATAAGATTCTTTTTTAAGTCGCATCCATATTCATGTGTCTTCTCATGTGCAACCGTTAAACAAAGAATGATACACTAGGGAATGACACGTGGTCTGAAATAGAAAAACAACACGCCTAAGGTAAACAGGTTTATTTTAATAAATGATAATAATATTAATAAATGATAATAATATTAATAAATGATAATAATATTAATAAAT